GTAGATGTAACTTAGATAAAAACATGTATTAAAATAAAATATCATTCCCTCACTATTAGTGTCATTCCCTCACTTTTTAAATAGTGAAAATAATTAATTTACTTATTAATTAATTTGAAAAATAAATTAAAAAATTAATAAATTAATTTATTAAATTAATTAATTAATTATTAATTATTATAAATTAATTAATTATTAATTAATTATTTAAAAATTAATTAATTTAAATATTAAGTATAATTTATAGGTTAAATACTTTCTTTATAATGCCATTACATATTTCTATTAATATAAAAAGTTTCAGAGCTTTTTATTCACTTTACTTTTTTGGGATTTTATGAACTGAAAAATGACAGTTTTCGTGAGAATGACCCATATATATATATATATATCTTGTTCAAAATTCGTTAATAAAATACATTTTGTTCATCCACTCAAGTTCAAATACATTTTTTTAAACTTTTAGTGAATAACTCTTGATGTAAATAGTTTTTTTTTCAAATATTAATTCATTAATTAAATTTAATTAATTAATCTTAGTTTCATATGGGAGAGAAAAAAATGGATAGAATGAGATTTTATAGACTACCATCAGCTTGATAAATTATGAACGAAAAAAAAAAAATAGAAACAGAATAAATAGTAACAACCAAAAATAACACTATATATAGAAAGAAAAATGGAAAATTGCAAGGAAATTCGGTCTCTATTTTGCCACTTAATATAGTGATTCAGTCATATGTATATATATATTTATGTTAATTAAAATTATTTAATAAAAAGTTACTAAAATAAAGCTCTTCTTTGTTGACATAAGTAGGAATTGATTTAAAATTTTTTTTATTTTATATTATTTGTTATACTCGTTTTTTTCAGCAATGAAATAATAAAAATAACAAGCAACCTTTTTCTGTATGGAATGTTCACTTGTTCGAAATTAATTATTATATTTTATAATAGTCACAATGTTAATTTTTAATTAACATTGAGCTAATTTTTAAATTTCGATACCTGGTAGGCGCGCCATATGCGACGCAAACATCAGCATGGTATCATTTGTAAATGAAAATTGTAGTTAATACAAGTGTTAATAAAAAATATTTAAAAGTTCTTTTTGCTCAATAGTTGAAAACAGAAGACTAACGGTTCGAACATCAGTTAGGTTGAGGTTTATCTTTAATTTCATCGAAACAAGTTTTAAAAAAATGCATTCTAAATAGGTTACAAGAATGATGAAATAAAAACACCTTTTTTTTTTACTCTTTATCTTGAGCGATGAATTGATTAAAAAAAACTCACCGTTTTCTGGATGGAATCTTCACTTGCTCGAATTCAAGGAAAATAATAACTATAATTAATATTATTATTCCAAAGAAATTAAATTATTAATTATTTCAATTGTAACCTTTCAGAAGCATAAGGACATTAAACCTTTTGAAGAGATGATATGCATTTAGTGTTATAACGAGACAAAAGTCTTAAAATGTTATCTTTCTTGCGTGTCTTATCACTGAAGGTATAATGTTAATAATAAAACCGCCCGAAAGATTAGATAAAAGAATAAAAAAATGACACTTCTTAGTACTCAATGAATTAAACAAAAGTTCCTCATCAATGGAAATTATATATTTAAAAGAAAACAAATTCAGTTACAAATGAAAAAATGAATTTGTTTATTGTTCAATGTATTTCTAAGTAAAGTATTACAGGCGTAAAAGAAATAATAAATAAATTAACTATTTCAATTCCCAGAACTAGGTATTGCTCTACATAGTCAAAAAGAATCTATATTATATAAAACGCTAATACGTACGTATGTATGTATCAATAAAACCGATGATATTTCTTTTCTCGCGCTGGCAACAGTTTTCATTTTTAATTGATTGCATTCGGCGTGCAAGAGCATGTAGTGAGCAACCAGATAACAATAACCAGAGTGAGCATTATCAGATTGTTCAATTCAGATTCATGCACTAAAAACATGACAATATTTAATTTAAACTCAATTAGGAATTAATTAATTAATTGAACTGAGAATGCTTTAAAAGGCCGCTGTTGAAGTGATATTTTTCTACTGGGAGCTACCTAAACGTCTAAAAAACATTTAACTGTTTGTATTGAATGCATTGAATTTTTTTATATTTCGCGTTTATTTATGCATTGAATTTTCACGCTTTAAAATGCAGAATATTAGTGAAGCAATATTTGTTAGTTTATTTTGCTAATATGTTTCTTATTTAGCTAATGTTTTGATTTTTTCACCATGTACAATCTAAATAGCTAATATACTTTTTTAAAAGCCAATAAGAACATTGGTAGAATTCTTCTACATAAGTACAATACTATGTCTTTGATAATAAAATACTATGTCTTTGATGATAATATATTATGTCTTTGTGCTAGAACATTGTGTTCATTGGCGAGCGAGCGCAGCGTGCCATGGTTCACGGCGTGAACCACATAGGATTGCGTAGCAATTCTCGGGGGATGGCGAGCGTTAGCGTGCAGGGGGCGGAGCCTCCTAGCTTTTGTTTATTTTACGTTAACTTTAGTAGTTTTAGAGACCAGATGTCAATAAACATCAAATTATCTCAATTAAAGAACTTGATTGCTAAAGCTTTATAAGTAACATTTTAGTATTCCAAAAATAGCTTTAAAATTTATACACTGTTTTTTTTCTTATTATTATTAAGCCTCTGAATCTTTATATTTTAATCGAAAAACAGTACTACGAGATAAACAACGAATTTAAGAAAAAATTGAAACATCGAGATAATTTTTGGAATGTCGGAGAGTTAGATGATTTTGTGAAGATTCCATTTCTTTTGTATTTAACGTTTTAATTAACCCGTTACTGGTATTTCAATTTATTTTTGCTTGTTGATGTGTGGTTTATGTTTCAAATATAACTCAAAGCGATCCAAAGATTAGACTCCTTAATGTAATTTTACTTTTGCGTATTTCGCCATATTACTTTTAGAAGAGAATTGAAAATTTTTTTTCACACTCAAATACAACTTTCGTTTTTCCAAAGATAATTCCATGCAAAGAATAAATTTTAGTAAAGATTTTATTATTTTTTACACTTTCATTAAATAGTAGTCAAAACAATTTTGCACTGTAAGGTTAAATTTTTTTTCCTCATTTAAAAAGATGTAATTTTACTTCTCAAAATACAAAATTTGAGGATAATCAGTTGATTAGTTAATTCTGCATAAACATTCTGGGACCGATACTTTCTCAACAGCGCTTTTCTGTGCCTTTTCCATGACTAAAGCAATTTTTAGAGTTTTTTTTCTAAATCAATATCATCTTCTTCAAATGATGAATCAAATATTGATTAGACCCAAACGGATCGTCATCTATTGAATGCTATTACTTATATACTACTACACAACCACGTGAGTAGGTCCAAGCATGGGATTTAAATCACATCATGGTTGGCTCTCATTCTTTTCCCCCGACTTGCAATTACCCAATTAATAATTATTATGTCGTTCGAAGTAGAATGTCTTTGTCTGTAAAATGCATTCTTAGTGCTTTGCAAATGAAATTGATGTAGTTTTATAATCTTTTTTATTAATTTTTAGCTTCACTTATAACCACCGCTGCAGATTTTAAAAAAAACATACGACTTTTTTGGAATTCAAGTCTAGTTTATGTAAGGAAGTATAATGAGACCAGCCTGGTAGGTAGGGCAATGGGCCGATATCCAAGAAGTCGTGGACTCGGTCCCCGTCGGTCGAAGACTCCACGCTTAGTAAATGGTGGCTGATGCACGTTAAATATGTCGAATCACGAAGTCCTTCAAGCTCCCAGAACAAATCATATCTCTTTGAGAATTAATCTAGGAGTTTCCTTGTCTTCTGGATTGGTTCAAAATTTCAAGGCCACGGAGTTGAACATTAGTAGTTGTATACTCAAAAAAAAAATGGGTCGGCTTTTCAACGACGGTTACAAAAAAATAAAATAATGTATAGTGATTCGTTACGGAAAAAGATGAGACATATTTTTTGTTGAGAAATGTGGATTACCCATTGTTCCACTGTTTAATTAGTTTTGATGTCTTCGTACTGCAAATCGTTAGTATCTTAGAAATTGTGAAAAGCTTCTTCATATTTAAAAACGCCATTTCTCTCATATCAACATTATCTTCAACTTTTACACTCAGTATGAAAACTGTATAAATAAATTAAAAGGTTTCTTTCTGTTTGGGTTGAGAGCAAGCAACTTTTTTATTTTTTTATGAGACAGCTAATGCCAAATAGGAAATTTTTTCTAATGGGATACCCGCAAGTGACGTAGTTGGGAATCTCGATCGTGATTGGTTGTTGAAACGTTACACTTGTTTACGTTAGCAACTGTTTTTTTTTTCCCATTCTCTTTCGAGTAAGTCAAGTCCGTTAAGTATCAATTCTCTTAAGTGACTCATTCTAAATTCTTTCATAAAGATTCTATTTCAAATTTTTCAATTCTTTCACGATATATTTGCACAGAAACTTAACACAAAGACACGTGCGAAGCCGTGGGAAACATAAACAAACTAATTACGCATCGAAGTTGCCATGTATACAAAATAGAATAGGTTACAATAAAAGAGATAAACAAATTATAAATCTGTGTAAGTTAAAAGAAGTAAACGAGAAAGAATTATATTTCAACTAATTCGATGTGCGATACGGTTCTGTATTTAATTTACTTATCGTTAATTAACCTTCTAACTTATGTAATGAAACTTAGCTCAACTTTAAGACGCCATTTTGCAGATAAAGATTAGCTGGTGCTGACTTCATAGGTCATATGTGTGGGTATAGGAGATCTTCTTCCTCTTGAAGTGCAAGTACCCAATTATGGATAGTCTACAAATGAATGGTACAATATCCCTTTTGCTGTTTTCTTCATGTCTGAGATTTAAATTATGAATGGAAATGCAACTTTTACTTAGAAATATGTAACTTAAAAAGAAGTAAACATAAATTCAATAAAAATGTTATTTAAATTTATTATTATTTTTAATTATTGCATAAATAAATGCTAAATTGTTATATTTAGAATTTTTTTGATGTATTTTAGGATAGTTTTGTGGTATGTTTCTTCACGTTTTGTTCATGAAACAGAATCCGCTAGATTGAAATAATTTGATATTTTATGTAACTTAAAAAGAAGTAAACATAAATGCAATAAAAATGTTATTTAAATTCATTATTATTTTTAATTATTGCATAAATAAATGCTAAATTATTATATTTAGAATTTTTTTGATGTATTTTAGGATAGTTTTGTGGTATGTTTCTTCACGTTTTGGTCATGAAACAGAATCCGATAGATTGAAATAATTTGATATTTTATTTGTCATAAAACTGGCTGTAAATTTTCTTGAATCAAATTTCCTGATTTTTTTAGACATTTTTTATTGTAATTAAAAATTTTAACCAACTGGAGTATTTTGATCGGTTGGCACACAAATGTCAAGTTCCCATGAACGAAACTTTAAACCAAATTTACCAATTTTTTATTTGCAAAATGCACTTAAATTACACGTAATACAAATAAATTATGATATATTAGTAAATTTGAGCTTAAGTTCATTTCTAGTTTCGTTAATTCATGATTCTAACAGATAATTTTTTTAGGAAAAAAATGTTTTTAGCGAGCCCTACCTCTCAGATTGTGAGTAAAACCAATTACACTTTTGCGTAGATAATCGCTTCTTACAAGTATATAAACAGAAAGAAACTCATAAAATATTTTTTAAATAATAAAATTATACCAACTGTTCAATATATTTGAGCCTTGGTTTCAGGAGGATGTATGTTAACTGAATATCAAAAACATACCTGCCAACTTTTAATCCCTTCCATTCTGATATTATCCAGTGGTATTAGAATGGAATTAAAATTTAATTTTTAAGCCAGAAAATACATTGTATTTGAAAAAGCTTAAGCTGATAACCGTGATAGCAAAACATAACAATATATATGCTTAGTTTTTTTAAGTATAGTGGTGATCAAAATCATTTAAAAATTAAGTTTATAAAAGAAGAAAAAGTATATATTTACTACCACTTTAAATATAAAAATAAAATTTTACGCCAAATGCGTAAAAGTTGGCAGGTTTGATCAAAAAGGAATTCTTGTTTGAGTACGTAACATAATATTTTGTACTTTTTATCAATAATATTAAAAAATAATGATAAAGATTCTGCTTCACAGGCAGATGTTTAAAATATGTTGTCATATGAATTCTGTTATGCATGTTTTGAAATTAAATATTCCAAGTTGCTGCCACAGATTTGATATTTTGTCAGAAATTGAAGTTAAGTATCATACGAACAGCTGCGAAAATGTCTATTGTCTGTAAAATTTGTGATTTCTTTTTAAATAAAATCTAACAATTCTAAAATATTTTTCTTATCAAACAGCTGTTTTAAGAAACTTATCAAGGAAGAAACGAATTCTCAACTGTCAGCAGCCGTTGAGAGAAGTATATAAAATGGATATTATGACGGGTAAAACTGAACCTTTTAGGAGGATCTTTATACGGCTTTTTAGGTTTGGAAAAAGAAGTAAGTATACATTTTTCTTGAAATTACGGCTTTCCGATAGAAATTAAGAATTTCGTCGCGGCACTGCACTTGTTAAAAAAACTAACAGCAAAATAATCTACCACCATAAACATGTTGAAGAGATTTGAGAAAAAGTCTAATCTTGGAAAAATGGTAGCTGGCAGTGACTTAAACATGCTGGCGCGTTTTAGAAGAGAAACTGATCTGGAGAGGCTTGCCCGTGAATGCAAGAAATTAGAAGAAGGCATGAATTGGTCAGATTCTATAACGGGATTTTTCGGTGTTGCGGCAGGGGTAGCGGGCATTCTAGCGATGCCCGGGTTGGGAATGGTGCTGTCAGGAGTCATGTTTGGATCGGCAGTAGGTAAAGGAGTTCTAGGTTCCGCTTCCATTGAAAGAGACTGCGGTGATGTATCATTTAAAGAGTTGGAACTGAGACTAAACAAAACTTTAAACGGGATAATCCAGAAGTTAGATCAGCAAACTGAAATACTTAAAGATGCTCATGATATTGTCAGTAAAACTTTAACTGAAATTGAAAAGATAAGGGTTTCGATGGATCAGGGCTTCGAACGGATTCTAGACTCCATCGAACGTCAAGACATAAATAAATTAGTTACGGACATAAAATTAGCTTATAATTCATTGCTAATTAGTGAAAATAATCGGAAAATCGTACCAAATGACGAATATTTCAATTTTATTGAGCAAGAGATTAGCGATAAGCTTCTTTATAACTACATTAATTCTAAGGGCACATTGTTCAAAGCTATATTTTCAATCATCAATAACAGTTACGCAATTCCAAAGGACATTAACCATCAAAATGCTTACAATGCTCTGACTGCTCTGAGTTTTGGCACTCTTACATTTACGAATATTTTATTCACCCTTTTAGATCAGTTTACTTACATTTCGGAATATTATTATCAAGAAAAAGATTTTTTAAAGTTTAACCAATGTATGACACTCCTTATAGTTCATTTTACAATGTTTAAGCAGTTCTTACTAAAGTCAAAGGGTGGTTTACTTAATAAAGTTATACAGATTTCGGAGGAAGTTCAGCAAAAACACAACATTAAAGAAGTTAAAAAGGATTTGTACAATGATATTGTAAGTAAAACAAATAGCTTGAAAGTTGTAAAGCAAAATATTGAAAAGATGAGTTTGAAAATAATCGAAGCCGAGCCGCCGAAAGAAATTGATGTTCGTTTTGATACATATTCCGGAAATAAATTGAGCAAAACGGACTTTTTAGATTGGAAGAGAGGAACAAAAGTTAGCTACGCAACACAATACGAAAAAGATGGCAAATATTCCAGAATAAGCAGATGGACAGACGAGGATGTGTTTGATATTGCCAACCCAGAGATAGTAATTAAAAATAAGAGTGACAAAAACAGGCTCGTTTTTAGAATGTTTGCCTGCCACAAACCAGAGTTGATTCGTATTATTTCTGGTTCTCAAAATAAGTTTAGAGACATTGACAGAGATTTATATGATTTAGCGTTTAAGAAATCATACAACGATAAGAATATAATGCAGAATATGAATAAACTTTTAAATCTGGGTGCTAACGTTTCCACTGTTTTTGAACGCGAAAGAGGTGTGATTCACGCAGCAGCTGCATCAGGAAGGGTTACTATGCTGAAACAAATTTTGGAAGTCGACCGTAAAGTCATTGACCAGAAAGATTCGAAAGGTTACACTCCTTTGCACATAGCTATTGAAAACAACAGATCAGATTTCGTGAAGGAGCTTGTAAAACAGGGCGCGGACGTCAACGCCAAAACGAACGAGGATAATGTAACACCCTTGCATTTGGCAGTTCGTTTTCAGTCCGAAAAAAGCGTAGAACATTTGTTGTCTAGTAAGAAAATCAAACCTAACGAGGTAGAAAAATCTGGGAAAACACCTTTGCATGTCGCTGTTTCAGATAAATCATTGAGCCCGAAAATAGCGCATTTATTAATAAAAAATAATAAGGTTGATGTGAACGTTAAAGATTCTTTAGGACTAACGGCTTTGCATATAGCTGTCTCTTTAAATTCTGAGATATATTCTCGCTACTTGATGGAGAGTAGTAGAATCAATTTATACGCGAAAGATAAAAACGGCATGGCTGCGATTCACTTTGCAGCAATGTATGGATATGAAGATATAGTTCGCAGATTAATTGCTTATGGTATGGATAATTTAAATTCTCCTGCCACTGACAAAAAATGGACTCCTCTTCATTTCGCTGTCTACTTTAAGCATGGAAGGTTAGTAGATAATTTGTTGGTTTGGACTCAAACAAAGGGAAAGATTTCGGTGGATGAGCCAGATGCACAACAGCAGACGCCATTGCATTTAGCAGCTCAGAGTGGTGTTGATAGATCAGTTGATTATCTGATTGCAGCGGGAGCTAAAACTTATAAGAAGACTGCTGAAGGTTATACACCTCTTGCCATTGCGATCATTAACAAAAAAGAAGACATTGTTCGGGACATAGTATCATGGGAGGGAACAGAGGCTCAAAAATTGCCAAATAGCACAAGTATCCAAGAGGTTGATTTAACAGCTTGCGAATTAGCAGAAGAGCAAAACTTTATGTTTGATTATTTGGTAGAAAAAGGTCGTTGTGATAGAGAAAGATGGTATCCAGTTCAGTTCGAGGAAAATTCTAGCAAATACTTCGAGGCGAATCCTGACGGTTTTGATAAATACAATCATTTTGATAAATACACGCAAGGAGAAAAGCTAGAATTTAAGGATGAAGAATATGGCAAATTTATTAGAGATTTTCCTCTTGATTATTACGCAAATAATGAAGCTAAAACTTTAAGCAATTCTTTCAAATTGGATGAAGATAAGAAAATGAAAGATTTCAAAACCTTTGATCATGTAGATGTTAGTGGTGCTCTGCTGTTGTTGGATTTGCTCGTTCGCAAATTAACAAATGAAAAGTATGTTTCTAATTGGAGATACGGAAACTCTCCGTTCGAAGCAAGAGTTCAGGCTTTGGAAATAACTGAGAAGCTGGATAAAGTTTTAAATGAAATAAGTTCTGTGAAGCGTAAGGAAAGTTTAAATTCATTCGATCTTTACACTAATGTACGCAAAGCCATACAGAGCGGTAATGAAAAGAAATTTCTAGATACATTGTGTTCTTACATAAACGAGTTCTCATCTTTAAAACCTGAAGGAGTTGGAGAAGTTTTAGAAGTTATTTTATCAAACGATCCCAAAATGATTATTTCCAATAGGAAGATTGATCAAAAGCTTCAAAGCTTAATTACGCACTCCTGCTTTCAAAAGAAGTTTTGAATATGTTAGACATATGTCAAACAGGTCTTTCTTATCTTATAAGTAATTAAGTTAAAATTAAAAATTACTTCGTGTGCCTGTTTACAATTTCCTAATTTCTTGGGTGTTGGTACTTAACTTTAAAAATATTTAAATTTGGAAATATCTATTGGTTCCTTATTCACTTTTCGTTTGCGAGTAGCACCAGATTAGGCAACGCTATGCAAAGTTATAAAGATAATTAACGAATTATATATTTTATATTTGATAGAGAAAGAGACTACCTTAAGCTGAACGTATTTTCCAGAATTTGTAAAAAGAAAAAGAAAACTTTATCGCTTAACTATTGATTTCTTAATACTTTTATGAACTTGAAGAAAAATAAACCTTGCCTCCCAATTCCACGGATAATCGAGACTTTACTGTATTTTACTGTACGAAAGAATTTTCAGACAAAGTACTCTAGAGTTTTGATTCATGGCCAAATGAAACGATATAAACATCGTTATCAATTTAATGAAAAATTTCTAAAGTGAATATTTTAAACTGATGAATTAATAAATAAAATCATTTCTCAAATATTTTCATGTGTATTTTCGATATTTTTATTAAATTCTTTTAGAGCAAAATGCCACTTTCATGATTGAGATGAATTAGAGAGGATTTCATTTCGTGATTAGATCACGACGCCAATAGTTATCCCCTAAATTTATTGTTAAAGATAATTTAATGTCAGAAAACTCAACCATAAAATTGATAACGGTGCTAATTTTTTTAAATAGAAAGATAATTTGCATTAGTAATGAATATCTTGTACATACAGGGTGTTCCTTAAATACCACCTTTAATACGTATTTTTAGAATTGTTAACAAAATTGAAAATAAGTAACATATTGGACATCTCAAATTAATATTTAATCGTAGAAAAATCAAAAACACTACGGAAATCTGAAAAATTACAGGAGAGATCAGTGGACGTAATAAACATCGAAAGAGGTTTAGCAGGACGTTAAATCTTGAAGTTGTTTCTAACAATAGTCTTGTAACTCCTCTCCGTTTCAGCCCGTACTCAAACCTTTCTTGTTGTTCACTACATTTGCCCTCCTGTCCATACCCTCCAACTGCTACGGAATTTCCGTAGTTTCAGAAATCTTCTTTTCAGACGGTAGCAAAATTAATGTCTTAATATTTAAAAAAAATTAATTTTAGCGTAACTTGTCCACTATTACTTATAAAAGTGCAGGCCATATGGCTAGATTCTTAAGTTCTGATAAAAGTTTTATGAGAGATCCATTTGCTTTAAAAATTTCTACTTTGGTTCGCTACCACTAGAAAGAATTATTTTCAAAATCCTCATAAGTTGGAGGGTATGCTGTACTGTGATTTATAAGATTTCGTAGTATGATTCGTTCTTTTTTTTCTAATTTAAATATTATTTTAAGATTCTCCTGATACTTTTTTGTTTAAATGTTTGACAAAGATTCTAAAAGTGCAATTTAAAAGAGGTTTTTTCCGAACACCCTACATAACATACGGATCAGTAGAATTTAATATTCGAATTTGATTTGGTAATTCATGTGTACTACGAAATAGCATTTGAAAAAAAAAAGTTTAATTTTTATCTTAGTAGGAAATATTAGAATAAAGTAAAAGTTTTAAGAACTATAAAGTGAACTAAAAAAAAATAATCGAAGAATGTAGGGTGCATCACATTTGCAAGACGTGAGTGGATTTCGGTGGTTATAAAATCAAAGGATTAATATACAGGAAGAATATACTGACCAACCCTTACATTCTTTGCTGGAAGTTTAATACAAAAGGGATGCTCGATACGTTTCATTTTTATTTTCAAAGAAAAAAATAATAACTTTCTGTTTACTAAACCGCATGAGAAACGACATTTTTAAATTTATTATACGAGGGCTGTAAATTGAATATTGGCAACTTAACCTTTAAACTCACAGATGGACGGGCATGCGCAAATTAGATATGGGAGCTGTGAGGTGGGGCTGTTGTCGATGTGTAGAGTGCAAAAAAAAGTCGATTAGCTTAGAAGGGTTGTTGTTGTGTGGCGTTAATGTGAGGAGTTTCGTTTCCATCGCTCTAAAGCATGTTTTCAAAAGGTGATCAGCGGTCGTGGCTTACAATCGAGGTTGCCCGTGGCAAAAATGCAACAGAATGCTATCGAGGATTAGTGGAAGCCTTTGGAGCAAATGCTTTACCATATAGGACAGTAGCACGATGGATTCAAGCATCTCGTCTTTTTTCGTCATTAAGCCTTTTCACAACATGCTTTAGAGCGATGGAAACGAAACTCCTCACTTTAACGCCACGCAACAACTACCCTTCTAAGCAAATCGACTGTTTTTTGCACTCTGCACATCGACAACAGCGCCACCTCACCGCACCCATACCCTATTTACGCATGTGCGCCCTTTTGTGAGTTTCAAGGTTAAGTTGCCACTATTTAATTTACAACCCTCGTATTTTAACATTTTCTTTTTACATATATCGACTGTCTGTTTATATGCGCATGGTTGTAAGTTGTCGAAATTTCAATTGAAGATTAAAAGGCAAAAACGTTTGAAGCGTTGAACGTTCGAACAATATCAGAAGTAGTTTCTTAGAAAAGTTACATCGAAAAATGTCAGTTTTAGCTTTATTGACCGTATCAACCCTACCGACTACCCTTAATACTTGTGGGGGGGGGGGTAGAACTTTTGGGCTGTCTTTGGCAACAGATCTCCAGTTGTAGTTTGAGAAATATAGCTAGTCAAAATGTATAGCGATAATAAAGTCTATTCGGCAATAAATATTGTCTATAACGGTCATTTTGCCACCCTTTTAAGTATAACAAAAAATTTTTCGATCAAATTGGGACACTTTGACATTAATTATATTGAAGTCTTAATTTAAATAAATTGATAATTGCACATTAATGCGATTAGTAATTAATTTTAACTTAATTTTTTAAAAAATGTCATTTAAATTTGATTGCGATACATATGGCATATATAATATTTTTTTAAATGTTATTTTCTTGAGAAAAAATGCTTTTTTTTTACAAATAATAAATGTCATTTAAGTATTTAACATATCTGAAATACTCTTAATAATTTAAGTCAAGTTACGCAAAGCATGACATTACTTTTGTCATAAGTAGTTCTATACTTAAACGATAATTCATTTATGTTTTTTTCTTTAATAAACCACTGTCATTAATTATGAAAATGTTTTTAGACATTATTATAAAGTACAGCTAATTTGTGCAATGTAATATACTAACATTCTAAACTATCTATAAACTGTATATTATTTTATCCTCAATGCTTTTCTATTTCATCTGAAATAAAATTATTTAATAAAAGCTATAATTTGTTAGATATTTTTCGTTTGACATTTACCAGAAATATATATTATTATATTAATTATCAGAAATATATATTAATATTATTGTATGTGCTTTATACTTCATTGCATTATACTGTACGATATTTATATAAAATGATTTTAACAATGTTTTAAATATTTTATATTTTGTTTGAGGTAAAATCATTTATTAAAAGCTATTGCTTTTTCAAAAGTTTTAATTTATATAAATATTTTTAATTTATGCGATTTTTATTAAAAAATTTTGAAATCATTATTTCATTTATTCTTTTCATTACAGATAATGAAATTGTAGATGAAAATTTTTTTTTTATTTACGAATGACATATTATTTATAGTATGACAGATTATTCTACGATAAGTATCTTTTTCATAGTAAAACTTTGAAAATAATTTTGCATTTGTAAAAAATTTTTTATCTCGACACTGCTGCATGTTAAATTCATATTTGTTTTTTCATAGGGAAAAATATATAATTAAAAAAAATAACTGAAATGAATTTAACTCTTTCAATACTCTAGAACTATCTTTGTACCAACAAGATTCACTTTTTAACAAGCAATGTATCGATATCATTATTATTAAAGTAAAAGCGAAACTTGAATAATGGGTATTTTATATGCTGTTATGTTAGAATGAATCTAGAACAAAAATTGCAATTATTGAATTTGTATGTTAAAACTGATAATATATGTTGAGATATGAAATTGTTGAATATGTTGAGATATGTTTAGTCTTTAGTCTTTTTCTTCTGTAAAGAAAGATGTTTTGTATTAAAATGCTGCTGAATTTTTATTGAAAAAAGTATCAGTACAATTGATTATTAATTCATATTTTTATATAATTATATAGGTTTCATTTGTAACAATGTTTTGCCAAAAAGAGGGGAAAAAATTTTAAAATTTTATTGAAAAAAGATTTAAGCTTAACATTTTATTCTTGACACAAGTAAAGATGTTTTGTTATTAAACTGCAGCTGAATTTATATTGAAAATAAAAACTTATGCAGCTTAATTACTTATTTTAATTAATTTTATTTTGCGAATGTTACGAGTATTTCGTTATTAGTTTAATATTCAAACAATTTTTAAATGAATCCACAAATGCAAAACTACGGAAATTTTGTTGAAGTGAGCAGCAGGATGCTTAAGTTATTCTATTTATTTGAAGAAGGAATTTCTTAGAATGCATAAATAAATTGTATATGTAGTTTCTTTTTAGCAAAAACATTGTAACTATTATTTTAAAATTTTGTATTTAACGAATGAATGATGTATTATTAAGCATTTTTCGCTTGATAAATGAAAAAAAACTTCATGTTTGAAAGCATTAATTATAAGAACATGAAAAACTGAAATTGTTACTTAATCCACTAAAGAAGGCAGTAAAGAATCTCCATACTGCTTTTGACACCAGTGTTGCTCAATTAATTATTTTTATATGGTATTACTGATATTGTGTTGATAAGTAATAGGTGCTGTGGTATTAGGCACCTAAAAAAGTAGTATAGGTGCACAATATAGGTACGCAATGGATACAATTTTTTTACGATCTTCTTTAACAGATAAGTACCTTAGAATTAATAGTGAAGGCAAATATGCCCGAAGAAAAAATTTCAAAAATTAGAAATTTATAAGAACTATATTATTTTTTATATATATATATATTAAAAAAATAATACAGGTTTTATTAATTAAGAACTTTAAAAAAAGAAAATTATTTATTGAAACTTTCGCAGAATGTCTGTACATATCTTATCCTTAAGAACATAAGAAACTGGAATATCAGATAAGAATAGAAATGGATTGAACTCTATAGCTTTGACACTAGAATTGAGATGACCCAGTACAGTTAAGCCACTAAGCTGACGTTTTATTTTGTTTTATAACCGTCGTTGAGCTGCCAACCCCATTTTGGTCTTACGACTCTAATGTTCAACTCCGTAGCCTTGTAATTTTGAACCAAACCAGAAGACAATTAAACTCCTGGATCAGTACCCCCAGAGGTTTGTTTTGTTACGGGAACATGGAGGACTTTGTGGCTCGATAGATTTAACGTGCATCAGTCACCATTTACTACACGGGAGTCTTCGACCAAAGGAGTTCGAACTCACGACCTCTTGGACATGGGCCTAGTGCCCTACCAACCAGGCTATCTCGGCCCACTAAGCTGAAGTTGGGAAGAACCAGGA